TAACGCTGAGAAATATAATCATCGCATGTGTAAAGTTTAAATAAAATCAAAATGTTTTAAAAAAAGAATTTTTTTTAACGTGATTTACTTCTATCTTATTTCCAAGCTATATTTTTTTCGACTGACTGACCAGTCAAAAATCTTTTCTTTTCAGCAATTTCAAAATATTCTAAATACTTGTAATCAGTGATTTTACAACATGCAAATACTATCGTAAAATCTATATTAGATTAAAGTTTAAAAGAAATTTTTATGTACTTCAATATTCATATATCAATAGAAAATCATTTAACAGAGCAGTTAGAAAATAACTTCAGACAATTTTATAAACTACCGAATTGATTTGAGAAACTTTTATCATAACATACATTTTTAACGCTAAATTCATTCAAAATTAAAACTTTCCAAAATTTTATAAAAACTGATAAATTTTTGCTCAGTTTATTCACAATATAATATAGGTTGAAAAGTGCTCCAATATTTTAGCGTAAGTTTATAGTAAATTCCACGAATTAGTATGCGAAAAGCTTGGGGTTCGATCTCCCACACCTCCATTTTTTTTAAAACATTAAATTTATTCATGCCACTTTTCTCTCCGTTTTAATAAATATTCCGTTAGTGACAATATTTAAAAGCTTCTACTAAAAAATTTCAATCAAGTTGCGTAAAGAAAAATGTATAAATTAGTCTACACATGCAAGCTGACCATCTCTGCTACATATTACAGAAATGATAGAACACATGTCAACGGGGGTATAGCTCAGTGGTAGAGCGTTCGCTTTGCATGTGAAAGGCCTGGGGTTCGATCCCCCACACCTCCACTTTTTTTATTAGCAATTTTATTCTCTCCGCTATACTCCCTTTTTCTCACCGTTTTAAAAAATATTCCATTTTTGATAAATTTTAAAAAGCTTTTGTTTATATATTTCAACAAAATGGTTATATAAAAGAATGTTGTAAATTACTCCACACATGCAAGCTGAGAATCTGTGCTATAGATTACTGAAATGATAGAACACATGTCAACGGGGGTGTAGCTCAGTGGTAGAGCGTTCGCTTTGCATGTGAAAGCCCTGGGGTTCGAACCCCCACACCTCCACTTTTTTTAATAGCAATTTTATTCTCTCCGCTATACTCCCTTTTTCTCACCGTTTTAATAAATATTCCATTTTTGATAATTTTTAAAAAGCTTTTGTTTATATATTTCTACAAAATTGTTATATAAAAGAATGTTATAAATTACTCCACACATGCAAGCTGAGAATCTGTGCTACAGATTACTGAAATGATAGAACACATGTCGACGGGGGTGTAGCTCAGTGGTAGAGCGTTCGCTTTGCATGTGAAAGGCCTGGCGTTCGATCCCCCACACCTCCACTTTTTTTTAATGGCAATTTTATTCTCTCCGCTATACTCCCTTTTTCTCTACGTTTTAATAAATATTCCATTTTTGATAATTTTTAAAAAGCTTTTGTTTATATATTTCAACAAAATGGTTATATAAAAGAATGTTATAAATTACTCCACACATGCAAGCTGAGAATCTGTGTTACAGATTACTGAAATGATAGAACACATGTCAACGGGGGTGTAGCTCAGTAGTAGAGCGCTCATTTTTCATGTGAAAGACCTGGGGTTCGATCCTCCACTTTTATTAATATAAATTTTATTGTCTCCAATTTTTTCTCTTCTTTTCATCGTTTTAGTAAATATTCTATTTTTATCTGTTTTTAGAGCTTCTATACTTCATGTATTTAAACGTAATGCTCATGTAAAAAAAATGTTTAAATTACTCCACACATTCAAGCTGATCTTCTCTGCTACAGATTTTTAAAATATTATAAAGCATTCCAAACTGGGTGTAGCTCAGTGGTCGAACGTTCGCTTCGCATGTGGAAGGCTTGGGGTTCGATCTTCCACTCCTCCACTTTTTATAATATCAATTTTATTCTATCCATTTTTTTCTTTTTTTCTCTCCATTTTAATAAATATTCCATTTGTAAATATATTTAAAAGCTGCTACAGTATTTTCTTCAATAAAATTCTTAAATAAAGAAAGTCGTATAAATTAGTCCACACATACAGATCGTCCAACTTTGCTTCAGATTACTGAAATATTGGAACACATGCCGAAGGGAATTTATCTCAACGGTAAAGCGTTTATTGCTTCGCACGTAAAAGGCCCTCGCTGTGACCCTCCCTTTCCCCAACCTTTTTAATATCTTTTTTATTCTCCTTTTCCCTTAAATTTAACTATTAATATCTTTCTAATATTTTAATAAAATTCTTATGTTAAACAATGATACTACTATATTATAGATAATTTTCTCCCAGAGACATTAGCCTCTCCCTATCAGCTTCACTGAATGTTTAACAAAATTATATATTTCAACTCCATATATGACCTTAATAATAATGACCATTTTTGCAAAGCAGCGAATCTAATGATTTTATTCAAATATCACCGAATTCATGAAGTGTTGAACCATGCAGCTGATCTACAATGTATTAAAAATTTAAATTACAATTTTTAATAATAAAAAAATTCATTTTTAATATTATATGAAGGCAATTTTTTTAGTTTAAGGGAACGTATGAAAGGTTAAGGTTTTTTCAAATTCAGTGAAGTTTTAAATCTCTGAACATTTTATGGAAATTGATTTATTCAGTAAAATAATAAATGTGTCTGCTTTTAAATATTTCTTCTCTAAATAAGCTAACTTTAGTAAAAAGCTCAGCACTGCTGGATTTTTCTATAATCCATGAATATATCAGTTTTTTTTCTGTATGTTGATTTGCTATTTCTTTGGAAGCTTGCCAAAAAGCTTAACATTTGTTTCATTTAACTAAAGACAAGACACTTTGGCAATTGACCAGAAAAGAATATTTTGATCCTGCTACCGGAAAAGAAGTGGTAATTTAACTTAAAGTTGTGATAGTTTGCCTGAAAACTATAAATTAGGTTTAAAAAAATTGGAATTATTATGCTTTAAAAACTTTTGTTTAAGTATCTGACCACTTTTCTAAATATTTATACTATTTGCCATAAAACCGTTGCTTTGAAGAAAACTTAAAATATAATGAAAGAATTGGTATTTATGTAAGGCAAAAATAACAGTTATAAACAAAATCAATAATTTATTTTTCATTATTTATTATTTATTCATCATTTATTATAAATGACTGTTTTCTTAACTTCTAAGCTAATATGTCATTTTCCTGGCATTTAAAATTTGGGATTTTCGATTTTATTATTTTTTTAAGCAAATGTCTATAAACTACCCTCCTGTCTGTAAGATATTAATAAATGTAACTAAANTCCCCTCGGACGGTATTGTTTTTTTAAGGTTACAGAAAAAGTCATGTTATTATTCCATTAAGCTTTGTGAATCATAATAATAATTATAAATGAGTTTGATCCCAACTACACATAAATAATTACAACAAATATATTAAAGCATAACAGTCTTTATGATAGCGAATTACAAAATACAAATATATTTTTGAGTAAGTTTGTTTTTCGGTAATTGTTTTGCTAACAAGTGGAAAATCCTTGCTCTAAAAGAGTGAAAGTTGTCAGGTGTGCATATAAAATATATTTGTAGGAATATCTTCTAGGGTCCTCTGCTCTTATTTAGAGTCTTGCTAATTTTAACAAATTAATAAGTTTAAATTAACAAATTAACTATACACTAATGTAACTCACACAAATGTCAAAATTGCACAGCGAGCAACTAATTTGCATGGTTCAATTTGGAAACAAAGTTTTTTTAGAAATATTTAGGAGAGTATGGCGTTTTCGAAAACCTTCAAATTTTACAGATGATGATCTTAAATTATTAGGAAGATGATCTGATGATGGTAATCTTAAATTATTATTCACAAATTAATTAGTTATGGGCGTTTCATTTGGCATTACGGACTTAACACTCTATGTTTTTAAATTATGGATTAATAAGATTTTATTTTTATTTTACAAGAAGAAAACCGTAAATAAATAAAAGATTATGAAAGGAAAATGGCTTATAATTGTAAATAGAATGTCTTAATGATTTCATGAATATATTTGATTAGAAAGAATGATTAAGATATATGTTAGACTACCAAGAAATAGATTTGATTAACAAAGAATTTTACTTACATATTTTTAAATGAAACGAGTTTTTTAAGGGGTCTATCAAGTAAGAAGTGATAACACTAAGATTTAAATAAAAAATTCGTTTTTTGATTATTATTCGTTTATGATCATTTTGATCAACTATTTGCCAATTTCACCAGCTGCTGCGCTGGACAAGTAACCAGTTTCCTTATTTATGCTACAAGTTTTTGAAATCTCGCCAAACTAGGTTTCCGGAAGATATTTTGAAGAGGTTATTTTGAACGTCCGATCACGCCACCAAAATTCTTAAACTTGATTGGTTATTTGATATGTATACCTACGCGAAAGTTGGACTTCGTTAGAAAAGAAGTAAAAGGGTTTATTTTTTCGCCATTTATGCTTCTGATCTCTTGCTGTTAGAATCATCGTTATTATTTCATTTTATGAAGATGAGCCACTAGAGTAACGGTAAGTTATCTTTTATTCTATTAAAAATATTTTATTAAATTTGTAATAATTAATTTTTTTTAATAATCAAGAAGTAACGTTGATCCCAGTAATAATTGCCAATTTGGCGAGATTTTAAAACTTCGCCAAGAGGTGCGCAATTCTAGGATTTTACCGTTAGTCTGATACCGGATATTTTCGTTAGGTTTGGTTTAATTTGCTTTGTTGAAGTTTTTATTTTTTTAAAAAAACAATTGCCCTTTTAGTTTTTTTTTATCAGCATAAAAGCTTCAAGCAATTTAGATTAGTTTCGCCATGTAAAATAATCCAAAAATTGTTCACAAAAAGTTAATACAGTATTGTTCCCATTATTCTGATCTACCTGTGTATACGGTAAATTAATTTTTACGAATACATTATTTAAAATTATAATTATTGAGCAACTAAAAATTACCTCCACCGCAAGAAACAGAACAAGCTCCAAAAATTCCTTCCTGCCAATGAAACGTTGGACGCTGACACTGTGACCCATCACCACCACAAACTCCACATTCGTCAACTTTCAATGTTGATCCTACTTGCAGATCACAGCCAATCGGCTGTAGAATAAAATGACAAAATGTCAGTAGTATTTCTTTAAAAAAATTCTAACAGCATCACAAATGAAAAATATTTGAGCAAAAATCAAACAGGGCTGCCAACTCTATACACTTTCTGGGAAGATTCATCCTTGTGGTAGCTAAGTTAACGTTTTAATGAAAGATTCATTGTGTTTTACCTCAACACTATAGAAGATGATTTAAAACTTCATATAAAACGTCGCTTTATTCCAGTTCTCTAGTGGTGAAGGCTTTTGAAATGTTGGCAAAGCTATAAAAAATTCTGAAAGTTTTAGTTGTTCATTGTCTACCACTCAACAAAATATTTTGCAAAAAGTAAGCATATCAAGAATAATTAGAGCTAAGAGCGATTTATTTTTATAAATCGGGCAAACTAGTCAATGTTTCGCTACTCGATGTTTTTTGTTTTGTTGAAATTTTCAGGATATGTTCCTTATGTAAAATTATTAGGTAGTACTTGTTTTTTTTTTATTTTACCAAATTTTTTTCCCTCGAGGCTTAGAAGGATGAATCAAAATTACAGATCCTCTGGAGTTTTAAAAAAAAAACACATGTATTCACATGCGGTAATACTTTTGGTAAAATACACGGTACTGACCATTATTTTGTGTTTCACACCAATCGTTTCCACATTAACTGTTTAGGCCTAAATACTTTCAGTGAACCTTTGCATCGAATGACAAAGGTCATTCAAAAATTCTCTACATAAGGCTATTTTTTAGACTTTAACTTTCAAAATGTACCTGTGCCAACAGTATATATTTATGTAATTACATGCTAAGGAATAGTACACAAAAAAATCAATATATGCCTGGTGTACAGAGCGCAAAAAAAAAAACGGACAACTGAGTAACTTTTGAACTAATGATCGAAACTTCACATTCTAGGGCTTCAATAGTTTTAAAGGAGTGATCTTAAATAAGCTAATTAATTGGTGTAGGCGATATTTTAAGTTAGAAATCAGACGCAGAAACATACTTTCTCTGAATAGACATACCTTTGTTTCCACGGAATCAGATTTCTGAACCCCAAATATTAAGCTGCAATCTGGAAAATATGGTCCATACAGTATGGCCAGGAAAGCTCTCCAAAGTTTGGACCCCTCAATGTTAATTTTACTTTTTACGTATTTCGTTACATCTCGAGAACTTTTAAATAGAATTGTAAAAGTTTTGCACACAATTATAAAATTCGTTTATCCAAAGATAATTCCATGAAGTAAAAAAATTATATTAAATATTTATTATTTTTTATTTATTAATGGTTGAAACAATTTTGAGTTGTAATGTATACAATATTTTGCATAATTTTGAAGAATATAATTTATTATGGATAAATACAAAACTTGAGGATAATCGGTCGAATAGTTCTTGAGAAATCAAATTTCAAAAAAGTCAGATATTTAAAATAGCCTTAAAGTAGAGAGAAACTGAAATGCTGTTCAACTTTCAAAATCAATCACTAACTTCGCCTATATTAGACAAGTGTAAAAATTACTGGAGAAGAAGCCTTAAATATAATAACTTAAACTGAATACACTTTTTCATTGACAATATAAAAGGGGATATTTCCCTATTTATAGTAGGGATATTTCACTACTGCTCAAAACCAGTTTTTTGATCATAGAAAAATTTAAATAGTGGTCACAAAATTATTTTGTTGATCATTCTGTTTTTGGAAGAAATATAATCCATTTATTTTACCATAAATATGATTAAGATGATATGTACTCAATACTTCAATATCTCGCATTAAATTTACAAACTCAATACTGAATACATATTTTCTGAATCAATTAAACTAGTGATAATAGGGAAAGATTTTCCTATCTCAAAAACTAAAATGTGTGCCATTAGATATTACTTTCTTTCCAACCTAAGGTTATTTACAATAAATATAGTTTTCAAAATTTACAATGAATATTATAATAAACAAGAAAATAAATAAGAAGACAAATAATTTCTTGTTTGAAAATGATTTTCAAAATCAATTTTTTATCTAAGGTGAATTAAAAAAGTTGACCTTTGTTCAAAAGTTTTATGTCCCCTAATAAAAAATTATATAACATATACTAGTTGTCTTCAAGTTTAATATAACTGAAACTAGAAAACGAAATAAAGTTGAAACTTACGAAAGATACACAAAAGACTTGCGAAATTGAAAAAACTAATCAAGTCTTGAAATAAGAAAATACGTTTTATTAAAAAGGTTAAGAAAAATAAAGTTTCTGCTCTTAAATATTATAGTAGCAGACTCATACTTCTTCTTCGAAAAAATAAATAAATAAATAAATAGGTTATGAAATTTTCGTGTCTTTTTTAGTTAGTTTCACTAATTTTAAAACTAAGTAAATTTTGTATTCTTTTAATGACGCAAGTTTCCAATGCAAAGCAAATTCATTATTCAGATGATTTGTTACATAATTACAAAATTGAATTAATATTTTTCTGTTCCCTAAACACTAAATAAACTAAATGGAGATTTGCTTAAAAGCAACCATACTCACGTGTTTAATTAAAAAAAGAGATCAAATAAAAGAAACTAATTAATTTAAAACATGCTATTATCACATTATAGAAAAAGTTATGTGTACCTAAGTTTTAAGAATTCTAACAACATGCAGAAAAAATATTTTTAGAGATGTGTCTTTTGCAGAAAAGATGACAGAGTCACTGTCGAATTTTGACTGTAGTAATAATGAACAAAAAGGAAGAAAAAAACAAACAAAGAAACCCCAATGTTGCGCGCGATTTTAAATTATTTTACAAAATTATTACTTTACTAGCAAGAAACTATATCCTTAATATTTGTTAGAATAGCGATTTAAAAAAGGTTTTTTTGGTCCACTCATATTCAATATATTAGTGAAGTGATTAAAGTGTAAGTAAAGTTTAAAGTTTCAGGCAAGAAAAACGAGAATACATTATTTCTTTTATTTTGTATTTTAGGTTGAAATTAATAACGAATCATATAAATGTATCTATAATTGTGAAATCTTGATTATGTTAAATCGTTAAAGCAATTTGTCTCCTGGTTGTCGTGCTGAAATATTTCAATAGCTTGGACTCAGCGTAGATATTTTATTTCTTGGATTGCTTGAAATTTTATTTTAATATTTCCTATGATAAAAACTTTATGTTATTTTGCTTAGATAAATTTTATTGTATGTTTTTGACTATAGCAACTGCATGCTCTTAAAAATGGCGATTTAAATGAATAATTTTGAGATCCTGATTATGTTATATTGCTGAGAAATTCGTCATATGTTCTTATACCGAAATATTTCTTTAGTGTGAACTCGTCGTAGATAGTTCATTTCTTGAATTATTATTTTAGCTTTATTTTAACATTTTATGTGATAACAACTTTTGGTTTTAAAATTTGTTTTCTTGATTAAGTAAATTTTATTGTGTAATTTTGATTATTATAACATCATTCCCTCGAACTTATGAAATTTCTGTTAGTTTCGAAATTTATTTTTCTTAGTAGATGCAAAGTTAAGACGTTAATATAACATTCCTGCAGTAGCCCTGTGTCGGTCAGGAGCTCATGGAGGGTGAGACTCCACTATATAGTGACAAATGGCGTGTCTGTGGCTGTGCGCTGAGAAATCAACTGATCAACTGAATTCCTAAATTTGACTAGAAATTAAAGGTATGAAATTTTTGAATAACCTCATAAAACATTTGTCATAACGTCTTAAATTTTTCCAGACTGTGACCATCCTGTTTAGATAATTTAAAAGTACCCGCTGAAACGATTTATGTTGTTGTTGTTTCGAGTAACACTTGGACAAGCCAAGATCGCCAGTCATGGGCCTTGTGAATTAAGTCAAGAAGGTGCACCTTTCGTTTGACAAGGGAGTACCGTTTGGGTGAAAGTATGAAGTAGTTCTGAACTTTTTGGATAGATGGCAGCACTACTCATTCAAGTGTCGATTTCCACACTTTAGACATATATCTGAAAGGGAATTAAATTTTCTACACATCCCTTGTATTGCTCAGCGACCGACCACAGGACTTACGATTCCACAGATTTTACGAGCGCATACACTCGATGGGTCTTAGCGATTTTTCAGGATTGTGTCCCGACCCATCCGGACCGATACTGTAACCACTTGGCTGTATTCTAAAAAAAAATTAATTAATATTTTTGCTTTAAATTCTTCAAAAAAAAATTACATATTTTAAGAAAAAAGAATTTGCATAACTTTTATTTACCTGACATTGACCATCCACGCACATGTCAAGGGCACCTTCTCTACATCGTGTGCCATCCAGAACCTTCTGAGACTGTTTGGCCACGAAGTTGAAACCTTCAGCTTGNTTGCGGCACCATTGTATGATTTTGACTATAGCAATTCCGAGTTGCTATAGTGCTTTCTTGAATTACTTGTAATTTTATTTTAATATTTCCTAGGATAAAAACCTTATGTTTTAATAATTTTTTTGCTTAGATAAATTTTATTGAATGATTTTGACTATTGCAACTGCATGCTCTTAAAAATGGCGATTCAAATGAATAATTTTGAAATCTTGATTACGTCATATTGCTGAGAGATTCGTCCTATGTTTTTATAACAAAATATTTCTATAATGTGGACTCGGCGTAGATAGTTCATTTCTTGAATTATTATTTTAGTTCTGTTTTAACATTTTATGTAATAACAACTTTCTGTTTCAAAATTTGTTTTTGATTAAGTAAATTTTATTGTATAATTTTGACTATTAAAACATCATGCCCTCGAACTTACGAAATTTCTGTTAATTTCATAATTTATTTTTCTTAGTAAATGCAAAGCTAAGACATTAATATAACATTCCTGCAGCAACCTTGTGTAGGACAGGGGCTCATGGAGGTTGAGGCTCCACTATATCGCGACCAACGGCGTGACTGCGGCTGTGCGCTGAGAAATCAACTGATCAACTGAATTCCCAAATTTGACTAGAAATTAAAGGCTATGAAATTTTTCGATAACCTCATAAAATATTTGTCATAACGTTTTAAATTTTTCCAGACTGTGGCCAACCTGTTTAGATAATTTAAAAGTGGATATTTAAAAGTACCCGCTGAAACGATTTATGTAGTTGTTGTCTCGAATAACACTTGTACAAGCCAAAATCGCCAGTCATAGGCCTTGTGAATTAAGTCAGGAAGGAGCACCTTTCGTTTGACAAGAGAGTACCGTTTGGGTGAAAGTATGAAGTAGTTCTGAACTTTTTGGATAGATGGCAGCACTACTCATTCAAGTGTCTATTTCCACACTTTAGACATAGATCTGAAAGGGAATTAAATTTTTTCCAGATCCCTTGTATTGCTCAGCGACCGACCACAGGACTTACGATTCCACAGATTTTACGAGCGCATACACTCGATGGGTCTTAGCGATTTTTCAGGATTGTGTCCCGACCCATCCGGACCGATACTGTAACCACTTGGCTGTATTCTAAAAAAAAATTAATTAATATTTTTGCTTTAAATTCTTCAAAAAAAAATTACATATTTTAAGAAAAAAGAATTTGCATAACTTTTATTTACCTGACATTGACCATCCACGCACATGTCAAGGGCACCTTCTCTACATCGTGTGCCATCCAGAACCTTCTGAGACTGTTTGGCCACGAAGTTGAAACCTTCAGCTTGGCACGTAAGAGCACATGGATCTTCAGGATCATAGAACGGCAACCAGGTGTACTTCCGTTCTCTGTATGGTTTGTTATTATAAGCTGAACACTGCGTGGCGCGGAAATCTGTTGGCTCTGGGCATGGCTGCGCAAAAAAAGGTATCTCTCATTAAAAAATGAAATATAAAACAAGTACAATGGTAAGATATTTCTGTTAAAAACAAGTTTGAACCTAATTTATCTTTTTAAAAAAATTAACAATTATAGTGTTAAAAATATATTTATATGGTAAGAAAGGAAGTTGTAGGTAAGAAAGTAATAGTAAGAAGCAAGTAGGTACGAAAGTATTTGTCTGCAATATTAATTATTTTCTCATTTTTTTTTGGTAAACAAAGGGTCATTTTGAAAACATTTAATTTTTCTAGTTAGCATGTTTATTGTTAGCATTCCATACAAACTCTATGCAAACAAGTCTTCTTTTAGCAGCAAATGTTTTGGAAACTTCACAAGGTAAAGCTGTTGGCGCAATTGAAGAGATCACGCTTGAAGATTTAAGAAATGGTGACCTTTATGCCCAAAGTTCGGATCGATCAAAATTAGAGTAGAAAGTTTAATGGTGATGTCCCTTTTTAATACCACTATAATTTAAAAAAGGAATCTTATATAAATATTGCAATCTACTATACTGATTTCAAATTTGCTGTTGTTAAAATCAAACAAAAGTTATTAGCTTCCAATGCTCTTTTTGATCGATCAAAACTTTGCATGATTAAAAATGGTACTTTTTCCAAAAGATCCCTTGAAATCCCATGATATTTAAAATTGTGTGCCAACCGGTTCCCCTTGTGAAATCTGCAATAACATCTGTTGATAAAGGACGCGCTGTAAGTTTTTTACGTAGAGTAACTACGGAAGTGTTTCCATTATTTTGATTAAATCCTGTGTAAATCAGTTGCACGTTTAGCAAGTCTTTATATAAAAAACGGTTATCAACACGGATTATTTTTATGCAATTAGCTTTCCAAGATATTTATGCATTCCTAAATAAATTTTTCTAAAATCCACTTAATTGTTCACTTTTTTCCTTGTTTCTTAATCATTTTGCAGTTTGAAAATTAACAAAATCATTTAAAAGAATGTGCTGAAGTTACCTGCATGTTACATATCATTCTTCTGATTGGTTCCCCAGATGCACATCTTCCTCTGCACTTCCTTATACTGATAGAGATTCCACCATCACAGCTTCTGGAACAATCCATCCATGGAGACCAGGAGGTCCAAGCTCCACTTTTGTTTTCTTGGTCGTAGCTTTCATTCTCACTACTATCATTAGAGCTGGATGACTGTCAAAAACCAATTAATTACATTTATATGTGTCTTATTTATTTTACCCATTTTGTTTGAAATTTTGATTAAGGATTAACAAGAATAAAGTTATTTTATATGGCTCCTTTAACTATTTTATATGGTGAATATTGAGGGAAACGAGTGCGTGGACTCCTTGGCTAAGGAAGGCAGAGGTGCTGACCAACCTTGCACCACCATCACGCTTGCAGACGCTGTTGCAAGACACAGACTTCTGACCCATTCCTTCAGGAAACCCCTCATTACTAACTTTGATTGTTCCAGAATCTTAACATCAGCAATTACAAGACTAAGAACAAACCACTTTAAGGGGATGAAAATTCTTCCGGACAAAATATGAACTTATATTCCGTGCAAGAATGCACCGATATCCAACTTACCCCGGATCACATTCTCGAGTGCCCAGCCCTTACCCTATATGTTTCACAACTGGGTATGGTGCCACTGGCTTCAGAACTTCGTGAGATTCTCTACAGCAGGGGTGTCAAACTCACGGGCCGTGTGCGGCCCGAGATGAACATTTTTGTGGCCCAGTCAATATATCCGACGCAAAGTAAAAATAAATTAGAAATGTGAATTAGAAAGGAAACTAGCATATGAAAATATAATATACTTTATTTATAAACTATACGGATCATTTTAAATTGTACGCGCGAAAATGTAAAATTCTAATTGGCTTGCGGCACCTGCCATTCCAGGGATACTGCATCGTATCAAAAATACGCAGAAAAAATTTCAAATCTTAGAACGGAATTTGAAACAAGGTTCAAAGATTTTAACTCCTCGGAAAACAAATTTTGTTTGTTTTCGTCGAATTTCTCAATAAATATAGACTCAGTACCCAGTAGTATGCAAATGGAAGTGATTGAGATTCAGTGCGACTCAAATCTGATGCCTGAATTTGATGAGTGGTTATGCCTGAATTTTACAAATATTTACCGGCATGGTTTGAAAATACTCGAAAATTCGCATATGAAATTATTTCCATGTTTGGAAGTACTTATCAGTGAAAGCAATTATTATATTAACATCGATTTTTTTTTGCGGCCGAGCTAAAGTTAAGCATTGTTTATTTGGACCAAGTTAGTTTTTGAATTTGACACCCCTGCTCTACAGTAATGATGTATTGGAGCTTGCGGATGCAGTTTTGAAGGCACACGAGGCCATTTAATTGTCCATGGACACGATAAAAAAATAAAAAAAATATGGCTCCTTTAAAACTTATTTACACTGAAACTAGACGAAATTGTTTGTAAAGTTTTTAAATGTGCTTACGTCTAATATAATACACAAATATTATACACAAATATTATAAAATTAAGATTACTAAAACTTTGAACGTTTTGGCCATATTTGTTTCTGTTTTCATTTGATTCTTCGAATCCTTTTTTCACAAGTAATGAATCTATGGTATAAAATATAGTCAAACCAGTAGAACTTTATCACTGCTTTATGTTTTAAATGCAGAATGAAATTTCAGCTGAATTATAATACTTGTTCCATTCGTTTTGCCTTTCAAATACTAGTGTCATAGACATAAAACTTTACTATTTTCGTAGCAAAAATATGATATTGACTAAAATAGAAATTGTTTGTGACGTATCATGTACCGTCGATAACATTTAAAGTCAATGCAGGTTACCTCTAAGATTGACCAACCTCCATTAAACGACCATTTTACTGTGGAACAGAGAGTGGTCGCTCTCTAGAGGTTTCATTCTTTAAGGTTATGGATTTGAAATTTGAGCTCATTGTGATCTTATCCATTACTTAATTTGATGGGCATGGGGCAGTACAGTGATAAGCCTAATTTTTTTGAAGTTTGTACAATTATTTTCCTTATCATTGTTTCAAGGTAAGTACATTACAAGTTTTCAGAATTTTCACATAGCACAATAAATAACAACATAATCTTTATTTTCAAATTGTTGTTTTTTTGGGTTTTTTTAAACAAAAACTTTCTTAAAAATCATTTTTTAAACAACTTGAAAATGTGGCCTACCCTCATATCGTGCCAAACTCTTCAAAATAAAATGAAATTATTTATTTGAAAATCGGTAGTAATCGGTTTATATGATGTTAGCATGCTATGTTTGGAAAAAATTTCTCCCGTCTGGTATAAATCCTTATCCATTTCTTCTATTGGAATGAAATAATTTTCAATTATTTTAGAAGATCATATTTTACAAAGTAATTAAATGTGTGTTACTTAAAAATATTTTTTCTTTCCTATAAAATATTTTACTAGCCAATATTTTAAAAATATCTTCTATTATATCAGCTTCTGCATTAAGAGGCACATTTTATTTTTTACAATATGTACCTCATCATCTTCTCGGGGCTTTTCTTCTAATTTTAACAATGATTCTTCCAAAAAAGGGAAAACATCTAAGGCTCGAAGGTATGGTAGCCACAACAGAACCTAGAGGAGAAAAGCAATATTAATATAAACAGCCTAAAAAATAAGTATGTGTATGACCACCTACAAAATTATTTATTAATGAAAATATTTCATGTGTGATATTAATTTTGTCGTAATTCCATCATTCACAGTTGAAAATATTCAATAATTACTCTCCCATAATTTTTTTAAGATTTGTTCAATAAGAAAGTGGACATAAAGAAAGTGCCCAGTCAAAAATCGCTTGAGAAAATTTAGTATTAAAGAAAATGAACTTCCTTACTAACAGACTTCACAACTCAATTTGACAAAGCTACCTGCATAGCTGCCGAATCTCCTGATTTTTGCGGAAGATTTTCTCTTTTACATAGTAACAAAACATAACATTTTTCATCTTTGCTTAAAAAATGGTTCATAAGGCTTTTGACGTACCACTACGTATAATATGTATAAATAATTTAATTAAATGTAAGAAAGGTTTTATCATTATCTTTTAAAAATATTAAGTTTTTGCATAGTTAAACGAATTGTTATGCTGCCATCACTACAAAGTATCTTAACCAAAAAGTGTAAAAAATGGCAGCTATGTACCTAATAGGATACTTTTCTGAAATTCAAGTACTTCATTTCAATTTTCCAAACTGTTTAACCCTTTGATTGCTTTTGGCACATACAATGGTGCATATGTGCGCTTATGAGTGCATATGTGCCCATCCTTGTAAGCCATCGGGCGCAACTATGGGCGCAAATGTGTGCTCAGAGAAGACTTTGGCTGTTTATGCCTGTCTAAAGTGTGTGTTCGGAATTAGTTTTTCTCGTTCAAGTTCAAGACTAGCATAAATTTCATACCATAGCAAGGAGCCGTGGTGGCTCAGGAGATAGAGCGTTCGCCTTTCAATGAGGTGAATCGGATTGGAATCCCAGCGATGGCTGGTCGAAACGAATTCCGCACTACACTTTAACCGACCACAGTGCCGACGTAAAAATATCATCAGAGGAAGACGGATCATGGGTTAGAGACCGTCGGAGATTTTCGTGGTTTTCCTTACTATGTAATGCAAAAGCGGGTATATTTCAACAAAAAGTCATCAACGACGGAAAATTTCTCCCAATATTTGATCTAGGAGTTCGATGGCATTCAGTTATTTGTCAGTACTTTGCACTAATTGTAGAAATAATAAATACTTAAATTTACACAAAGCTGTTATTCATTTATAAATATATAAAAAGTAACTCCTAATTTAGGCTTAATTGAGTAAGTTATTGCAAATTATAATTCTAGATTACTAACACACTATTAAGAACTTTTTACATTAGATCAAATAACTGTGAGAAATATAGATAGTAACCACAAATAGCATGAAGCCGTGATGGCTGAGGAGATAGAGCTCACACCGACCACAGTGTTGACGTAAAATATCCTCAGTGTAACATCACAAAAGTAAATTTCTCCAGGAGTTTCCTTGTCTTCTGGATTGGGTTCAAAATAACAAGGCTACGGAGTTGAACATCAGTAGTCGTAAACCCAAAATAAATTGGATCGGATGTTCAAAGATGGTTTTAAAATAAAATATTATAGCAACAAGAAAAAAATAAAATTTCGTTTAATTCGGTATTTTCAATTCGAGAAGTAATTATGCCGAACCATGTGGTTTAAATCAGATTTAATTGGATACCTGTAAACGACGTCATGAGCGTGTGTGTGGCTTCTGAATCAACAAATCTATCTGCAGTGACGTCATCAACAGGTATCCAATTGGACAGCTATTTCATGTCCAAATACAAACATTACACTAATCAAATTATGGCGTCTTAAAACTTAACCGTTGGTGAATAAACATATATTGAAAATACCAAACATTTTGGATCACTTTTGAAACCGATAACGAAGTAATAGTATTCAGATTTTGCACGATATTATTAACACGCTTAGAACAAAATCAGTACTGTGTAAAAAGTATTTAGTCCCTTAATAAATTTAAATTTGCTTATGAATTCATGTTTTTTAGACTTTTTCACTATAATAGTCATGATTATTTTAATATAGGAAAATTAATACAGACACGAAAAACGTTTCTAATCGACTTTCAGAATTATTAAAACAATGCACAATTAAAACGTCCAAACTTTGAAAAAATTCTATGAAATTTTAAATTAGTTTCATTACCGCAACATTTAGAACAACAAGTTGTTCTATCAGAAAAAGCGGTTACCATAAAAAGCAACACAAAAAATTAAAATAACGTTCGTTCTAAATATTTTATGTTCTTACCTTTTAAAAAATGAATATGGATTAAAGATTCTTTTTCTTGGTTGTAAAAAACAGAGACGTAAATATTCAAAAAGAATTATCGCATAAAAAAATGGACTTTATAAAGGCTTGTATTTGCTTGAGAGAATTCAAGTGTGTAGAACGGCTTCGGTTTCCAAACGCACGCAAACCATGGAAAAGGTTCAAAATGTTTTAACGATTCAAACAGCTGCTAAATTCTCACCATTGTAGATTGCCAGATTTCGATACCTGAGAGCAGACGATTCTTAAAGCTATTTTAGAAGCTTCTAAATATTGAAATGTTATTTTTACAAGTCGTTAGCTGACACAAAAAATCTTTTTGATATTACATTTTTATTTGCTTAAAATCATTTTTATTGAAATTTATGTATTTAAAAATAACGGAATTCAACTTTGTATTTTTATCAATTTATTTTTGATCATCATTTATTCAGCATTTTAAGCATTAGATTTTTCACGAAAACGATATACTACTACAGATAAAACTTGCAAAAATTATCACCTAAATACTTATTAATTATAATTTTACGATCTATTCAACCATAAAAAAAATTACTTGTAGTTTGATTTTTAGTAGCTTGTAGTTTCATTTATAATAAATTATTTTTAATGTTTTTCAAATTTGGCGTAAATTTTATAAGAAATGTTCAACTTGAAATATATAAAACGTACCTTGAGTTAATTAAATTGCGAAATCAAGCTAGATAAGCAACAAATTAGTCACAAAAACGCACTTGCCCTAAATTAAATAACCTTTGTTTTTGTAGAACCTGATTTTTAGAATATATTTGGAAGGTTATTTGATTTCTGCCACAAGTGATTTGATTTCTATCAACTTACGTTTCTTACATTGCAACTGAAGTATTTGCGAATATTTTTAAATTTAAGTTCCTATTATCTTCCCTAGTTCAACAGACATAAGTGTTTTTAAAATTGTACAGGGTGTTTAGTAACGACAGCCCTTTATACATATCGCTTTCAGAATCCTTGTATGTAAGGGATGTATAATGAATAATTAAGTGGCAAAGGCAAAAAAATTTTTAAAACTCAGTCAATAAGCAGCAAATGAAGGATAAAAATGATAAAAATTTAGTTCTTTAAGAAGAAAGCTTGAAGATATTTCTTAGCGAATCGGTAATGTATTCCAATCCTATTTGATTAACCCCTTAACTTGTGCGCTCGAGTTAATTCGAGCGCTAAGTCAATTAAAAAAGAAAGTCTTTAAAAAGGAAAAATAGAATAAAGAGCTTGTTAAAAAATTTTAATTTTCTAAAAAAAATTCGTAAATTAAGTTAGTGAATAATGGAATCAGTAACAGTGCTTAACATTTCTGCGAAATCGAAAACAGTACCTTTTAAGGATTCCTTTTTCATGTATTCTTCTGGCCTTCTACTTCAGTTTGGGCCCGCAGACCTAGTAAACAGACCTGTATCGTGTCTACTGTTCAATTTAGCTGTAGAAAAAGTTATCAATACGTCTGTTCTCATAGTTAGAGGAACTATATATCAGAAAATTTTTCAAACCTTAACATGTGCTGATGAAAAAACGTCTCTAGATACAGCCTTAGTCTATATATTCAGAAAATTTGTCAGAGAGACCTTCAATTTATTAGAAGCTGAATTTGGTAAATTTGGCCGAAAAATAAATGAATATGAAACAAAATTAATGAAAACTTCACACGATACACCTAATCCACAGACTGTAAAAAATTACACCTTTGAAAGAGTTTTACAATGGAAATATCTTGGAACTATCATTACTACTAACAATGATTTGACAGTCACGATTACCAACAGACTCGCCAGGTCAAATAAATGCTATCATGGTCTCAAAAGCCAGCTAAAATCTCGATGTTTAAGTTTAAAAACAAAAATTATCATCTATAAAACTCTAATTCTATATATTCTACTTTATGGGAGGGAATGCTGCGTAATAACTTAGCTACATTAAAATATATTATCGATCTTTCAGTACTTGTAGTATATGTTTATACCACAGTATACTTAAACTAAAAAATAAATTAACCAGTTAAAAAAAAACTTTGCAATATGCTAAATTTGCTGTAGTACACATATCAGATTAAGTAAATTTTTTGCAATGGCAGTCTCTTTCTGACTATGTAAGGTTACAGACAAATCTAAATCTATAAAATTCTTCTGCAGATAGATTTTGCAAATTCTGCAACAAGTAGTTGCTGTATATGTTTATACTCTAGTATACTTAAACTAGAAAATGAGTTACGCAGTTAAAAAATATGTTTTACATACATAGACGAATGTAAATACAAGGAACATTAATCGTTTAAAGAAATTCATGCAAACATAACTATATATCTTTAAAATATTATACAAGTTTAATGAGCATGTCTGCGAATATTATTCTCTCATTTTTAACAAAATATTTGCTTGGAATTTTTTATTTACTTGCAACACAAAAAATAAACTGAATTAGAAAAACTTTTTACAATTAAAATGAGCTCTTTGATTGGATTAATAATATAAAAACAAATATAAGTATTGCTCGTAAAAAAGAAACTTTTTCTTAAAAATCAATAGCTTAAGAGATAAGTACGGCATAAAATGAACCAAAAACCTGTAATTTAACAAACGAAGTCAGGAAAATAACGTGACCATGCGATTCGTTTGAAATGAAGTGAAATAAAACAGCTGATGGATGCAAGAAATATTGAACAAAAGAAAAAGGCAATGATAAGAAGCAAAAAAATAAT